AGTTGTGCGTGCCCGACTGCCCGTGCGTAGTCCCCCCCCCCCCCCCAAAAAAAATATTCAAACCAGCAAAGAAGCTATTTGAATATATTTGGTTGATTAGCGAATATTTAAATATTTGGTATACTCGGGCCAGCCCCATCTGTAACAATCATGGGTGTCGCCAGGATTTTTAGCTAAGAGGGGGGGGGGGGGGGCACTCACCAGAAAGGAAGGGAGAAATCACCAGCCTTGGGAAAACTTGACACCCATGTTGTTAAATAAACATTAAATTAACAGTTATTCTGATTCATCACTCGTCTCCTTTTTCCTTTCTGTTTCTCTTTCTCTTTTCCAGTACCAGTACCCCAACTTGCCCCTCCCCTCGCTATGCCAATGGTAACAACAAAACTATGAGGACCCTCAGCCAAATGTTTATCTTTTCAAACTTTTCCCTTGTCTGTTACACTGTTTGCACAATTGGGTCATTGTCATCCATTCTCCAATCAATGCAAACACTGTGTGACCCGACATCCAAAGGTACAGGCCAACACACACTGGTACAAGAAAGGGCACGATTTGATGAAGTGAATACTTTATCAATAAACGGATATGATAGAGTACACATGGTAACTAGTCTATATTTCCAAAGATACAGCAAACATGACAAAGCCAACATGGTAAACGGTCCTCCAAGGTTTTATTTTAACTCCCTCTTGCACATGAACAATGTAATGCTGTAGACATTTTGCTTACATATAAAACAATTAAAATGTGATATTTATTTTTTGGGTTTTTCCCCCCGACAGTCAAGTAGTTTTAATAGTTTCTAAGGTTGTTATGAAGCCACATTTGATTTTTGCCAATCCTTTTTTTTATTTGATTTTCTAATTTTGTTTTTATTAATATTATTTTTTGCTGAATCACTCACTTTTAGTTCAACGAGCTTGTCCTTGCACAAACAAAAAAGTTCAATTTTACAGAACAAAAAAGATTGAGATGAGAAAGCAGTTTTTGGGAGTCTGGTTGAACAACAAAGCACTCAAATGTACAAGGTCAAATGTACAAAGCGCCAAGCACAATAACCAGTGGAATTCCAGAACAATCACAGGGAAGTTGATAAGGCGACACAATTCACCAAATTTTCCAAAACAAACGTTTTTGAAGTCTTCATTTTTTTTCAAAATGAAGTCGTCATTTTTTCAAGTCTACAAACTTATTGGTTACATTAATTCATACAGAGACTTTGTTATTAATATAGATATAATAAGCCTAAAGGCTATGTCACATCTGCACTAAATAAGGGAATAAATACATGTATGTGCTTGGCTGGTTTTAAACAAGTACATTTAGGACCAGCTTGGGGCCTAAATATAGACAATGGCCCAAGCCGAAGGCGAACTCGTGTCATTATTATCGGCGAACAAACCCCTAGCTGTTTTAAACGACATTTAAACTTGTCTAAATAAAGAACATACACGTGTACACTCGGCGCACTCTGGGTATAATAAAAAAAAAATTAGTAACCGGGCTAGAATAGTTGGGCCATTTAATATCTGGCAAACCATGCATTGCATACCACTAGTGCTCCATCCACAAGGGCTGTCTATGTAGTAGGCCTACAATGAGACGGCATAAAAGCACCATACTCGCTCATACTTGCACAGTTCGTGCAAACGAATGTCGGACAAAGTCAACCAATTGCCAACTCGACTCGGGACAACTCAACCCTTCAGACAACTCGACCGGTGCAACAACTCGACCGTCGTCCGCTGTGAACTTGAGACAAGTCGACTTTGACTTTTTTTTTTTAATCTGTATCAATGCATTTTTTGTTTGTATCTTTAATTATTTTGTCAGCTTTTGTAAAGCGCTCCGATCTTTGTGGGGCGTTATAAAAATGCCTTTATGTATGGAGACAACTTGACCATGTGCGGCGTTGTACATGTATGTAGCTAGCGTAGCGCTTGTTTTTTTCCACACAGGTTGCCCGTCGATGTTTGAGCATGTATGCGCATGTGTCACATTGCGGGTACATGTAAGTTGTAGTATCTATGGCATGACTGTGTGCAGTGGGCATCACAGTAGCCGCCAGATCCCAGCATGGTGCACAGCCCCGGTGACGTGGCTTGCACGATGGCAGGGCCCACACCACATCAAGAAATCCTGGCGGCTCCATCCCCCTATCCACCCATCAAAATGCACCCAGCTTGGCAACCCCCAGCCCCAGCCAAGCCAAGCTTCGCGTCAAACGCATTGCAGTCAGGCAATGGCGTCGGTCTGTCACCCCCAAATGTACTTCCTTTGCCGGTGAGGGGGTGCTTGTGAACAGAGCGGATGGATGACTTGTCTTTCCATTAGACAAACAGATGGTCGACTTGTCACACAGATGTAGTCCCAAGTTGAGCTGCCAAAAAATTAAGTTGTCCAAGCACAGTGCAAACATGTTCACAGAAATTATGATAGCAAGTTAGATTTCATAAGAGTTATATTGATACGCCTAGATCGATTGTTTCTCTCCCCCCCCCCCCCCCCCCCGGCTGCCCCACCCAAGACGTCGGGATTGTGACTTTTGAAGGTACGAAATCCCCACTCCTCTGCATGATCTGGCAAAATTTAAGTGACAATCTCCCACATACATATTTAATGTGAGGCGCACTAGCGAATTAGAACCGGGTGCCTTCTCAGTGGCGTTGCTGGGGGGGGGGGGAATTTCCCCCACAACCTTGCCCCCCTCCAGTTGCCCCCCCCCCCCCCCCCCGACTTTTCTCCCAACATTTAATCAACAAATAGGGGCCTAGATTAATTATGTTTATTTTCTTCTCTGTTAAGATTCATAAAATTTTGGGCCAACTTTGGCAGACAAAACACGCCACACTTGCATTTATTTTTATGATTTGTGCAACCAACGACTTTGTTCATACATTTGTTATTACCATTCTGCACTTTGATTACATTTCTCATTCATAAAAAGATTACACTTCCTAGCTGCTCCAGTGGTTTATTTCCGGACCATTGACAAGCACGACAAGAGTTAGATTTTATATTTCAAGAAACACAATTTGTCAGGAAATTAATTCCCATACATCCTGAATCACTAAGCCGCTCTACTTTAATACCGTTTCATTTAATTTACAGACATAAAGTTAGCTAGACACGTGAACGTGGTTTGTCAACTACAACGCCACGTTCACGGGTCTAAAATAGCGTGTGTGTAGGCTAGCCCAGTGGACTCCCTTACCTCCCTACTTCGTCAGTACTGCAATGAAGACAATTGTCCAACCTGGGCCAGGCTAGTGAGTAGCCAGCCTTTCATTCAGAATGTCAAAATGTTACGCCCCCAACTATGGTATCGGTCCCAACTATAGTTGGGATCGTCCAAACTATAGTTAGGACGGTCCCAACTGTAGTTCCACAGTTGGGCTGGCCCAACTATGGTTGGGAGTCATCAAGGGGGCCCATCAATGGACCGATCCAGTAAGCCCCTCCCACTGTGCACGTGGGCAAATTAACATGTGCTCCTCTCCAATGCCACACTGCATTTTCCTGCCGCGCGCATCATACGAGCATGCACGCATGTCGGACTTTTGTGCACGCATGTCGGACATAAATCACGGCTGTGATTGGTCAGAATACCATGGTCCGGTGCTTACTGGATCGGTCCATATATAGTTGGGCCACTCCAATCTTTTTATTTTGCGGTGTCCCAACTATAGTTTACATTGATGTACAACTATGAAACATTCCCTACAGCTCTGATACACATCTGACTTTACTTGGACCATTGAAATTAGCTATGGGTGGCGCCCATCTATAGTTGGGCCACTCTAATATTTTTATTTTGCTGTCCCAAGGCAACTATAGTTTACATTGATGTACGACTAGACTATAAGTATAACACATTCCCTACAGCGTCAGCGCTGATACAATCATACATGTCCGACTTTACTTAGTGGGTTGCAATGACATTAGCTATGGGTGGGGCCCACGCAACTGGGCCACGCCAATTATTTTGCATAAAAAAATGTTGCTGGACTATAAGTATAAAACCCAGCTGGACAACTCATCCAACTAGGCAGTGCGATTATCTTCAGCCATGAAGTCTGCACTTGTAAGGAAGGAAGGAAGTACCACTAGCATGACTAGGCCTACCACGTGGCCAGCCAGCCCTGCGGCATGCATGCACGACGAATACATGGTGCCAGCGCCGCGGAA